ACCCAAATCCTGTGTGTATCAGTCTAGCTGTTTCATGCCTACCCACAGTCCTGTATATAAGTAACAGAATTGCATCTGTGTTGGATTTTTTGGGGGTACCGGCGTCTATGTTCTAATAACAGCAATTATTGCTAATATAATTTACCCTGTTTAATATGGGTCTCATAGCACTCGGAAGATTGTTTTGACGAATTTTTTTAGATATTTTACTGTTTTTGGCTGCTAACTGCAGGAATTGTAGAAATAGGTAAGTGTATCGGATTCCTACTCTTCCATTTATTCTAATTTACAGTGGAAAAAAAAAACATGCATCTATCTCGTCTACTAAAAAGTTTGAACTACAATTCTAGTAGTTTTCATTTTGGAAGGGTAATAAATGAGAAATTATCATTGATAGTCAATTTATACCCACAAAATCGCCAGGATGTGTGACCTTTTGAAGGTCATGTACGAGTTTATTTTCAATTTGTACATGTATGAACATAGCAAATATTCAAAATAACTTGTATCACTAATTGAGTATTAAATTATAGTTTGACCAATGATTTATTAATCTACATTCTTCTACATGTAGTTATCAATTTCAAAACCAACAGTCAAGCAAAATATATACCTATATATAAACCCTGGATAGTCATAATGCATACATTATGAAAGGTATACAAATACACCATTGTGCTATTACTAGCATATCAAACAGGCCACCTTCATGACCTCTAAAGGTCACACATCCTGGTACTTACCGGTGATATAACAGCACCACAAACTTACACTGGGGCATTTTAATGAAAATTGTTGTTCCTAACAGATATATTTTACTGAACCAGATGAAACACTAGATAAGTTTATGAAATTATGCTGATATATCAATAAATACACTTTTTTATGTTTAAATAACGCCACAAAGGAATAAATAAAATTGACAGGGTATGTAACAAGTGTGACTCTAATGAAGTAGGCGATGAAAAACATTACTCTTTTCATTGTGAACATAACAGTTTTTCAGAACACAGGAAAAAATTCCTCTATGCACTAGTTATATACTCACCTGATTATCAAATCTTGCCAAATTTAAAATTGTTTATTAATGTTTTCTCAAGTGTAGACAAATATGTTTGTAATATTTTAGCTAATTTTGTTTTTCAGATTTTAAAATTATTTTAGATGAGTTGTGTTACTTTATGTTTCTTATAAGTTGGACTTTACTCATGCATTATTTTTGTTTATGTTCGAAATAAAATATCCTATCCTATCTTATAATTCAACATGAATACTTGAAATGCATTGAAAGATTTGTATTTCAAATTTTGTCAAAAAGATACTGCAACTTTTGTATTCAAACACACTGTTGGGCCTCACAGACCAGATACTATACTAAGTGAATAAAAAACTTTTCAATTGACATAACCTTTGTACACCCACTCAGCAGCCAAAACATAAAACACACATGAACATTAATTACCCTGTATGGATTGGATTGATCTGGTCATGTCATGTCATATCAAATGACCATTATTGACTTTATTGTAACTAATCTTGCATAAAAAAAGATTATAAGTTACTACAAATATTCCTAATTATAATAGTTGTGTCCAAAGTACAAGATCTTGGCACATGCTAAATATTGTTATTTCTTCTCATCTGTAGAGGAATCACCACAGTTGCGTTTAAATTCATCGGACCCATTTTGGAACCCACTCGGCTTTTGCAAATATCATTCTCTTTCGTTGATCTACAACTTGTCCTACTCTGCACATGTGTCTCATGCCATTTACTAACATAGTATTTATGTTCAATCATTGTGCCCAACAATAACAAAAAAAAATTCACTGCTTTGATTATAGTATTCAGCGTGTTCGAGTTGAACTATCAAAATGCCATTTGTCCTTACTTCTGCATTAGACCATATTTTTTTTCTTTTCCTTTGTGCTTTCGTTCATCTACGTCATCGTCTTTGAGGGTAGGATTTCAGTATGTTCCAAGCGTTTACCCTCATTCACGAATCTTAGCACGTGCACAGTTGGATCTCAGCTCCCTCTCTTGAGACCAAGATCATGGTATTTTTAACAGATCTAACTAGTTTAGGACCGTTCACACACACACATTCCAGTACGTGCGTACACAGTTTCGAAGCGCAGCACAGGCTGAGATTTCCAACGTGAATGCAACTAATATACATAGACATTACAAACAAAAAACGCACGCTCACCTTGTCAATGTTAGCGACAAATCTCCCACGCAATTCTTTATTTTATTCTGTGCATCTAAATGGGTCATATGCATGGCATCTTCACCATCAATACGTAGAACAACATCATTGGGTAATATATTAGCAACTGCGCCTTTTCCACCTGGTGTGATCTGAAAAACACAAAATTTAATGGAAGTATTAAGAGGTGAGCAATTTGAAATGGGGATTACCGGTACTTTGTGTTACTACATGTATACAAGTTTTTTTTTCTTAAGCACTGCACATGATCCTACTTGGCTCAGCCCTAAAAGTCTGCAGCACTAACTCTAATGTGACTTCAGAATAAAAGCATTGTGTATCTGTATAAAGAAATTAAGATAATTGTTGTCTCAGATTGAAGCTTAGCCAACACCCCTGTAGATGCAATGGTTCACCCCTAAAATCAAAGCCATACTTCTGGCAAAGGGAAAGTTCAAGCATATATACAAGGTAGAATTTGATAGGTTAAATAAACCTGTCAACAAGCAAGCTGCTCTCTGATTGGTCTGACTGTCAGGTGTTAGGGTTAGGTAGCCAATCAGGAACAATCTTGTAGAATTGCATTTACTCTATTTATAAAAAATTATTACTGACATATATTTGCACTATTCACTTGATATTTTGAGCATAATCACTGTGTTTCTAATTTGTCAAGAAAACAATGAGTTCTACTGTTATTTTACATACTGTTCACATGGACTTAATTAGCAGATTCTATATACCAGTGGAAATAGTGAAATAAAAATCCAGTGAATAATTAATGCATTTACAGTACTAGTAGCACATTACTGCTATAATCGACATCTTTTTAAACATTATATTCATACATTAGGTGTCAAAAAAGTCACATACAGCAAGTAAAAGTCCTATGTCAATGTTTAATTCCCACAATGCATTACCTCAATTCTAGGGATCCATACCTTCCCTTGTCAATCTCAAATTCCCACAATGCATTGTCTCAATTCTAGGGAATCATACCATTCCCTGTCAATCTCTCACAAAGTCCCACAATGCATTGCCCCAATTCTAGGAGTCTATACCTTCCCCTGTCAATGTTAATGTCAAAGTCCCACAATGCATTGCCCAATTCCTGAGAGTCATACCTTCCCCTGTCAATGCAAAGCCCCACAATGCATTGCCCAATTCCTGAGAGTCATACCTTCCCCTGTCAATGCAAAGCCCCACAATGCATTGCCCAATTCCTGAGAGTTATACCTTTCCCTGTCAATGTCAAAGTCCCACAATGCATTGTCCCAATTCCTGAGAGTCATACCTTCCCCTGTCAATGTCAAAGTCCCACAATGCATTGTCCCAATTCCTGAGAGTCATACTTTCCCCTGTCAATGCAAAGCCCGCAATGCAATGGCTAAATTCCAGGAATTTGTACCTTCCTCTGTCAATGTCAAATTCCCACAATACATTGTCCCAATTCCAGAATTCATACCATCTGCTGTCAATGTCAAAGTCCCACAATGCATTGCCCCAATTACAGGAATTCATACCATCCCCTGTAAATGTCAAAGTCCCACAATGCACTGTCAAAGTCACAAACTGTACATGTATAACCCATCAAGATGACTGCGCAGCATTATGCAAATTTTTTTTGAAAAAAAATTATTCAACTTCTTTATACTTAAAACTTTGAATAAAAATACAAACTCTGACAAAAATATTTACATTATACATAAATTTGTTTGGTCTATGATAACCACTGTGAAACTTGATGAAAGCACAAAACCGAGAAATGAGATGCAGCCAAAACAATATCGGCAGTGAAGGGGAATTCTTGAATAGATGGTATTTCTTACATTTTAGTAATATGATGAACACCCAAGGCAAGAAAGGAAAGAAGATAATACAACTCCCTAGGTAAGTTATAAACAAGTATAGGCCCTTTCTGCAATACTTGACTTAAAGGGAGAGAGTTCTATGGGTTTTTTTTAAGAAAGAAGACTACATTGTACATTGTAGGGATTATCAAAACATGCCAGTCATGTTTTATAATGCATTGTCAAAGCATGTAAGTAGATTGAATAACAATGAAAAATGTTATATGTTGCAGAGTTGATTGAAGTATCAATGATAAGCACGACTAGTGTATAAAAGGTGTTAATCTTTTATTTATCTGCGATGAACACTGCATCAAAAAAAAAAAAAAAAACATTTTCAGAACGGATTTATACAGGGAATGTGACATATACAGTGTACCCTGAGGAATAACGAGGAAATGACAAGAGGCAACCTTGTTGACACCTTTGTATTCGAGGCAGTATTACATGCCATCCAATACACAAAATTACATTGTATCGAGTATGATGAATAGTTATCTTCATTTTACTATGTACACTTCCTTCTTAAATATTTAATTGTGTAGCATTTTATCACAAAAGAGCGGTAGTCATGGCTACACTCATAAACAAGATAAGGATTCCCATATTAACAAAGATGGCGACTTTGAGTGTTTGTGCAGATCAACATGTACGAAAGGAGACACTAGATTATTTCTTGAGTGATTGGAACACCTCAACGGAGTTAAAGTCGGTATTTAGTGCGCATCGCAGTCAGATCAAAACTTGCTTTTATGATAGCCATTATGAGAGTGTATTGGGTTGCGAAAAACCAGTTTATCATTACAAATCTCGTATATGTGTGGCGCAACAACCACCACTTTTTGAGTTACTTGTTTGTTACATTTTGTCTCATTTTCTAACTTTTATTTTATACATGTAGTCCTTTAAGACATCCTCTAAGTGGTCATTAGATAGATATTTAACAGCACATAGAGAAGGTCTTTACAGCAAACAACAGCGCAATTGTCTACACAACACACTACACAAACACCTTACACACGAGCCAACTTTGAGTAAGGCCATTGCAGGTTAATAAGGTTAATAATTAATGTACATGCATGTTTCAAAAGTCACATAAAGGTTCAAAACCTTTTTTTGAGGGCTCATATTTCAATGAAGAAATATATTTATCATAATCCAGATGGGCTGCTAATTTAAAAAAAAAAAAAAATTACAGCCATGGGACAAGAATTGGTAGACTAGATTATTTCACTATGTGGCAAGATAAAAAGTCTGGCTGCCTGACCACTCCCTAAATTATGACAGCAAGTAGAAACAGATGCATAACAATAAAACTATCATGGATTCATGCATACTTGGCAATATTCTCACTATGACAACCGAATATCATTAACACCATCAATTTTAAAGCCAACATTTTTGTACAATATTTTGCCTATTTTTACCTATTTTGTTGTTATTTTTTGCATAATTTTGGATCAAATTGACCTAATTTTCTATTAGCTACAGGTTTTGATAACAATTTTGGAAAAAAATTAAAAAAATTATGTCGGTAGGCTAAAAGAGTTATTATTAATACTGCTCATTTGAATAAGCCCATGAATCAATCATAATTTTTCTAGAACATTTATTAATTAATTAACGATGCAGGTGCTCTAATATTTTATTACTCAAGCAAGGTGTTTTATATTAACAACATTTTTTCATGAATGTGTAATCAATATGAATGAATGAATGACTGGTTGGCATCAGACACTTGCAAACAGGATTTGGTTGTTAAATCCTGCAACTGGTATACTATAACCAATGGATAATTAAATTCAGTCACTGCATAATGCACAGATTTACACATACTTAGCATAGAATGTATTTAACATTCCATCCACTATATTTTGTATTCTACCAATGCTTTGATGTGGCACCAACCAAAGATTTCTAAAGTCTTGTTCACATGTGCCGAGAAACAGATTGCTTTGTAAATATTCCTTCTCAGTGGGTTAAATTTTAACATGCGTTCTGTCCATATGTCGCAGTGGTTCATATTTAAGCACAGCATTCATACATTTTAAATGTCTTATTCACCTACCATTGGATCATTGTTAGAGGGCATTGTTTTAACCCTAAATTCTTGTTAACATGTCTCTCATCTTGGGGTTAAACACAGACCTCAAGTTGAGACCAGCCCTCTGACTCTAAAATGACACAGGTCGAGACCAGGTTAATTTGTTCGCATGTGTTTTTCAACACAGGGTTGAAATTAAATCCAGGTGAACCCATGTTTTGCTTTCTGTGTGAACACAATATAGAATATGCCAATCATGGTGTAAGACGAAGATCTGACTCGTAATGAAGACGTTCCATGGATTGCAAGTTATATCACAAAATTGATATTACGTGTATTTTCAATACAGCAATAATCGGCATCATAGTTACTAATGAAATCAAACATTTCTACTGCATTCTGGGATGCCACTAGTGAAAATATGATTGAAGCAAAATATGAACTTTTTCATGAAATTCTTCTTTGCATATCATTGTGCATGAATACCGTTGCATACCGGGCTTAAACAGCGAAGTTCTTCTGATAGAGCAAATATATATATAGTAGCAATCTGATTAAAATAAGATTCTAGTTTAGGGCTTTTTTTTAAAAATTCCTATCAATTTTTTTTTTAAATTATATTTTATTTTTAATTATTTTTTCATATATTTAATTTTGATAATTTATTTGTTGGTAGTTTATTTTGGTAATTGAAATGAAATAAAATGTAAAAAACAAAATACATGCAGTACAATATATTAGATTTTTTTTAGTCAGAGTGATATTGTAACAACCAAACAGGTGGTAACAGATGACCATACATGTGTAGTTACAAGTCACAAGATTTCAACAATATCATTACTTATTTCACCACAACATGATATAACCAAGGTTTCTACTGTAACGTCTCTAGTTCAGTAATAATCAGTAATGAACATAAAACAACATCTGGTGATTGACATAACAGATTTTAAGCATAAATACCTAAGACATAAATCCACATTTTATAGCCATTAGACTAGATAGACTCAATATACTACTCCAATTATATGTTCTATATAGACTCAATATACTATAATTATGTTATACATTATAGACTCAATATACTACTCCCATTATATGTTATATATGGACTCAATATACTACTCCAATTATGTTATAGATAGACTCAATATACTACTCCAATTATATCTTGTATATTGACTCAATATACTACTCCGATTATATGTTATATATAGACTTGATATACTACTCCAATTATGTTATATATAGACTCAAT